CAGGTTAAAAGTCACACTGATTGCCCACAGCATGTTGTCCTTGGTCCTGGCCTTTGAAGGGCACATATTTACAGGAATTGTAGGAAATATGCTAATCAAATGTAAGGACAGAGCAGTTAATATGCCAGATAACAATCACAATTTAAAGATACTTCAATCAGCTTTAAAAGTAGGTTGAAAACTAATAATTTGTATTACTCATCATGAGGAAAGTGCAAAGCAATCAGAGATGGGATCGAGTCCCTTTTGGGCCACATTCTTTGACCCTAAACTTTATATCAAACAGAAATATTGACTGATTCATCTCTTCACAAAAATTTTGTTTGATTATCCTAAGCAAATAATTAATTGATATGGGTATGATTCTGCAGTTCTGTAGGCCTTTGTAGCACTAACTCTGTAAGCCCTTGCATTAAAATCAAGTATGTTGGGTTATGGAGATAATACACTGGGTTAAGCACTTGCCACACAAGCATGAGGAGCAGAGTTTGGATCCCCAAAACCCACTTAAAAGCTGGGTAGGCATGGTGGCCCTCCCATGATCCCAGTGCATGGAAGGCAAAAACTGAGAATCCCCAGACTGAACTAGCTAGCCAGACTAGTCAAAATGGTGAGCTCCAGTATCAACAAGGGACCCTGCCTCAATATATAGGTGAGGTGTAGAGTGAGCTAGGAAGATACCCAGGCCTATGTACACACACACACACCCCACATGTATCCACACACAAAAAAATACATATATACATATACACATACACTACATACACATACATATAAAAAAACCAAAAGTATCATCTATAATCTAAAGGATTTGGCATATGTTCTTCACATGTAAATATTCCCAGTAATCAGGGAGGGAGACATGGAGTGCTGGACCTTTTTATATGCACACCTTGGGTGGAGTAGTGACTGTAGATACCCCAAACTCTGCTGATATGTAGCCAAGTGGGACCACATGAGCCATTTGTGCCTGACTGATGATCCCCATCTTTCTGCAAACTCCGAGTTGCAGGATGTATATTCGGGGGTATTCATCAGCTAACAGTATAGCTTGGAAGTGTTGGGTTTTTTAAAAAAATGTCTAACTTTTTAGCCACATAAAATGACAATTCATTTTGTCCTTTAATACTTGCCAATCGATTTTAAATACTATTCTTCTGTACGTTTAAAAAGAAATAGAATATACTTAAAGAACTATGATGGATGGATTTTTAACACCCTGTGCTAATGACTTCTAAAAGCTCCAAAGAACTTGTTTTACCTGGTTTCATGTTAAATAATGATGTTTTTAATAGTCATCTTCAAGTCTCCAACATAAAGTAAAAGGCATGTTTAACGTACAAAGAGTATGGACTTACATCTTACAAAATCTCTTGGGCATATATATGGCTACTTTAGAAAAATCTCTACAAGCCTCATGACTGTCTAGGGAGGTTCCTGCTTAATCGTCATGTTGAGTATTTAACTGGTGATTTGGGCCATCATGATCTGATTCAGTACAAGAACTGTTTTGACTGATTTATTTACTTGATTGGGGGGGGGTATTTTCTATTATATATAATCTTTTACATCCAGATAGTAAACTCATGCATATACTATCTTAAAATATTGAAAAGTTCAATGAGCCTTAGGCATAGAGGTTCCACTGTAGATATGTCACCTAGGGCTGGGCACCTCTCTGATGTATATTGTCTGTGTTTGACCAGTTGTGGAACTCTGTAATAGTCTTCACTGGTTGCAAAACAAAGCTTCTTTTATGAATGATGTATGGGATACTTGTTTGTAAATATAAGGATCCATATTTAGCATATGGTAAGAAATTTCATTTGTCTAGAGATATGACAGAGACACGGTTTTTCTCTAGCATCTATGACCTCTCCAGCCCTGTATATTTGGATATAATCACAGTGCCACCCATGAGTTTCCTCCCATTGAGAGGGTTTTAAATCCAATTAGACAGCTGTTGATCCCCCCCACCCTCCAGTACAGATAACAGTGCCACTACTGCACCAATAGAGGTAGTTTGCTGTGCCATTCGTGTGGTTATTAGACTCTAGAGCTGGGCTGGACCATTGACAGGGGGTGGAGAGAATACTAGTGAATTCCTCAACTCTCACCAAAGAAGCCTCCTTATACAAGAAAGTGCAATGCACACAGAAGGCCACAACTGGCTTAATTTTAGAGAATGACTGCAGAGTGTGTGTCCCTGGATAGGACTCCTATATTAAACCTCACCTACCCATGTCTCAGGGATCACTGCGGAAGAAGGGGTAGAAAGATTCTAAGAGTTAGGGTTAGTCCATGAGCATAAGGAAACAGGCTTTCAAGCCACTGGAAGCTTGCTCATATAAACTTGCAGTAATGGTGACGTCAAGCATATGCTAACTCAATCAGACAAGGGCCCAGCATGGAGCAAGGAAAATGGATGGCAGTCAGACCCTAACCTGAGAACTGTTGGCAACTGATTACTGCTGGGTGAGGGAGAGTAGATCTTCCTTAAGATCTCTAGATAGACGGACGAGACTCCAGTGGATAAACCTGCACTGAAGGACATCTGGGTACAAATGCTTGACTGGATAGGACTTAACATATATTATAGGATGCCTGAGGTCCAGTGGGAGGGTATGTGGGGTCATGGATCAGGGAGGGGGGTCTAAGTTTAATTAAGAACTATTGTATGAAATGCACAAAACACAATAAAAATATTATAAATTTAAAAATATGTTGGAAAGGATTAAAGCTCTCCTGACTCCTTGATTATCTTTTGCATGTGCAATACCCAAATTAATAAAAATGTTCTGTAGAACAGGCAATAACCCCTGTTATTATGTACCTGCTGTTGTGAGTTTAGACATAGATATGCTTATTTAAGAAATATATGAGTATCCATTATGTTTAATGATCTTCAGGGAACGAGATACAGCATGTTATTCAAAGAGTAAATAAAATTCTATGAAAGACAGCAATGGGGAACCTAAATTTAAATCATATTTGCAACATGAGGGAAGATTTGCTAGCAAATAAGAAATGAGTCAGCATAGCGGAGTGCACATGACCATGGCTTTGGCAGTCCAATGGCAGTAGTCTGAATCCCTTCATCACTTACTTGATTTCATATCTTAAATCACAGTTACTTCATTATTCTTAAAATATATGTGGTTTAAGTAAGGAAATGGTTTTACAATATGATACTAGCCTGAAGTATAATAGAGATTCAAAACTTATCTCTCATCATGTATTACACAAAATAGATAATATCTCAGATCCTGAGAAAGAGAGAAGAGAGTGCATTGAGATGGGGGGGCAGAAAGAACATATCTTAATATCTGGTTAAGAAAGAAGACAGAAGAACTGAGGAATTTCTCATGAAGTAGAGACATTTGAGATCTCTTTGAATGATAAACATGATTAGAAAAATGATTGGGAGTTAATGAATCTTCTTGAAAGATGGTGGTAGACACAAAAAGGGGATTCAAAAGATAACACAGATCCAACCCTCAGAAAACATGGTCACAGGTGATACTAGAGCAGAGAGAAATCAGAGTGGCCTTCTAAGTCTCCGTGATTAGAAAAATCCTAATGTTACTCACCAAACTAGGGAAATCTGAACAGCAGTCCAGTTTTGTGCTGTGGATCAAAGTCAATGGGTGGATTAGGCACAGTTTTGATTTCTAGTGGCAAAGCTAAGAGCATTGGTAAATGTAGACTGTGAAATGGAAATTTGGGCATCAAATGCCCATGTAGAAACACACTGCAGTACAGCTGGGACTGTGTCTTCAGTATACTGGAAGGAAATTGGGGAAGATAGTAGTGAGGTTTTCTATCATCTTAGGGTTTGAAAGTATACCAGTAAGAGGTACAAATAATATAAGTCTTGACTCCATTTGAAAGCTTTTAATAACAATCATATTGCCATTTAGAGCTCAAGGATAAAGAAAGGTTAAAAAGGATAAGCAAGGTCAGAAAAAGAAGTGCAGAAAATAAAATACCCAAGAGCATGCAGAAAGCTGGCCCCGAATTAGAGTCAGACCTCTTCGAATATGGACCTTGCTTCAGACAAAAGATATTCATTTCAATAGTTAAAATCAAAAGCAGGAAATCTTGACAGCACACTAATTCGGCAAACATGTTACAGTCTTCTGTTTTGTTTTGTGAAACAAAGTGTTTCCTATTGTTGATGAAGCATCCTCTGTGCTTCCCATAGTAAGCACTCCTCCAGTTAATAGGAGAAACAAAGCCATGTGTAACCTCATCAAAGATCTTCAGTGGTGAGTGGAGAAAATGCTAGTTCTTTAAAAGTAAAAGAACATCTAATTTAACTATTGGATCAACCTAATTAATTAGCATAAATTAGAACTGTTCAATAATGAAACATTCGTCAAGACATGACAGGTGAGTGTATTATCAAAGCACTTTTTCAAATGAAAATTTACTATCTAAAAACAAGGCTAGAAATGCAGGGCATTCTTCTTTTTTTCCACTCATCCCTAGCAAACTAAAGTTTCTTTTGTGAACACATTACTTTTTGTCCATTTATGTTCCTTTTTGATCCTTCAAAATGAAAACTTGAAAATAAATAACTAAAAAAGTTAACAGTATCATCTTTAATGTCTGTCCACAAAAATAGTTTTAGGTTATTAGTAGAAACCCAACTGACTTCAGCTTCAAGAGTCTTCTCAGTGGCTTTCCACTTTATTTATTGACGTAATATCTTACATGGGTGCTAGGGACCCGAGCTCTGGCACTCGTGCTTGGAAGTCAAGTTCCTTAACAGCTAAGCCATCTTCATGGCCACTAGTCTTTTATTTCTAAACCAGGAATGTATATTGTCCATATTTCAGAAACATGTAAGCTAAAGACCATGGAAAGTTCATCTAGTAATGGACACTCAAAGACATACTGCATCATGATCTCAAAATGGGAAATTTGGGGCTGATATTAGCTATTAGGAGGGCTTTTTAAAATTGAACACTCTGAGTAATTCACTGCCTGTCTTTCAGGATGTAATTGGAAAAGCGCTACAGTACTTGGGAGCATATGGTGAGCTGAACAACATGGAGCAAGTTGTGGCTCTGATTGATGAAGAAATGTGCATCAACTGTGGTAAATGCTACATGACCTGTAATGACTCTGGCTACCAGGTAGGAATCCCACTGGAATTAAGATGCTGTGGAGCATGTTTCTTCTTAGGGATGGAAAATAACTTATGTTGCTATTTGAGTGAGTGCATTTCAAACCAACTATACTAAATTTGTCCTTTACCAAAGGTCTTCTTTCTGTCTTTTCACCCTCTTAGCATACTATTGTGTCTTTGTTAAAAAAAAAAGATTGACTGATTGACTGACTGATTGATTGCTTGATTGATTTTTTGTATATGCCTATGTGTCTGTTTGAGTGTATGGAGGCCAGAGGAGGGCATCACATCCCCTTGAACTAGAGTTAGCAGCTGTGAGCTGCCTTATGTGGGTACTGGAAACCAAACTCTGATCTTCTGTAAGAGCAGCAAGTGCTCTTAACAGCTAAGCCATCTCTCCAGCTCGTGTGTCTTTGTTTTTAAAGAAAGTCATAACATATGCCTCTGTGATGGTTAATTTCCATGGTCACCCCTAAGAAACTTGGTTTAAGAAACACCTAGGGCATCAGTGAGGCACACTTTTTTGCTTGACTGTAAGAGTATGTCCAGAGAGGATTTATTGAGGGGATAGGACTTGCCCTGAATGTTGGAGGCAGCATCCCATGGGTTGGGGTTTCCTATTGAATAAAGAGGAGACAGTGAGAATGTGAGCTAAGTGGCACAGCTATTCTTCTCTCTGCTTCCTGATCCACCCACATGTAACAAGTCTTCCCATCATGGCTATGCGGTGTTCCGATGACTACTACCATGATAGACGGCATCCTCTGAACAGGGAACCATAATCCTTCCTTAAGTGCTTTGTGTCAGGTATTTGGTCCCAGCAACGAGGAAAGCAGCTAATGCAGGTGCTGTTCAGTGCACAGTGCAGCCTTAAAAACATCCAAAATTTGGATGGAGAAATCCAACTGGAAACAGAAATGCAGTCAAAATAATGTCCGTTTTGGAAGATTTTGCTCTATTCCTGAGGGTGGGAAGGAGTACTCCCATTTAGTAGCATTCCTCTGAAAGGACCTGATTCCTTTTGCCTCCAGATTCTCCTCCATCGCACAGTAATTGGGATTTTACAACAGTAATAAAGAAATGCCCTTTCCCACCAACTGGTTGTGAAGATTGGTCTTAGCAGTTTCTTCATGGCAGAGAAATGTGTATCTTCTTTCACCAGTGGTGGTGACTGTGGTCACTTTTCAGTTTATCCCTCAACAGACGATCTGTCACAGGACAGAAAAGAAAAATGAAAGATTCCGCTCCATAGGGGTGGGCGGATCTCTTGAAAATGCATCCCATCAATTTCTCTTAGACTTTTAATTTGCATCTTCATTTACCGCCTGTGTTTTAAATAGCATTTGCACAACTGTGACATTGACCTGGTTGGATTTTACAAATGAATGAAATAAAAATGATGATAAACAAAAGAATTATAAACCTTTAGATAAGTTTTTCATTCAAGGCCTATTGCATTATGGAAATAAAGGATTTTTTTTAAGATACAGGGTTTGGGAAAGTACATTTTAAAACTCTGCACTGTAGAGGCCCATTATTTTTATTAAAATCCTCAAGCCATAAATAGGTATATTAGAAAATAATATCTTTAAAGTGATCAATGGAATTTTCTAGATAAATAATAAAGTGCTCCTTTTTTAAGAAATGAAGATCATTTACTTTATTCAACCTGGTAGAA